TTTCTTATCTTCTAAAAATAATATCTTAAAAAAAGCTAAAATAACCCTAAAAATCCCAATTTTGAGGAGGCATCACCAATATTTTCTTAAGCTAAAACACTTCATAAACAAACACATGACAAGTAGTGTAATATTTTTCAAACATTACTTTGCAACTTATTACTTAGGGTCATGAAATTAGTTTTCTGTGTTTGACCAACATTTCACCAAAAACAAATAAAAATAAATAAATACAAAAGAACAGAATAGAAAATAACCATACTGCCTTAAGGAATTCATCAGTATTTGGTTTCAAAATGTTACAGCTTTAGAACTGATAAACCCTCCATAACATAATCCAGGCAATCAAATCACTGTATTTCATAAAATCTTCTAAGAAACTTTCAAATAAGATTTAGAAAAGGTCCCACTTGAAATAACTGTCACTTACGTACAGATTTATAAAGAAGGGGTCAGAAAACGTTTTCTGTAAAGGTCCAAACAGTAAGCATTTAGGGCTTCATGGGTTTATGTGCTCTCTTGCCGGTACTCCACTCTGCCTTTATAGTACAAAAGCAGACATAACGCGAACAACCTGAGTGGCAGTGTTCCCATAAAAAGTTATTTAAAAATAAAACAAGAGGCCTGCAAAATTCATTTAGCCCACAGAGACTATAGTTTCCTCACTACATGTTATAAAAAACCTTATTTCTTTTCCAGAATGCTAAAAACCTTACCTATTTTAATGAACCGACAGGGAAACATCTGTTCATCAATTTTATGCTTTAAGGTGAATGTTTCTTTGTTATAATCATTCTTTAAGCCACTGAAAAAAAAATAAAATTATCAGATCTGATTTCATAATTTAGTAACTGTACTAAAACACAAGATTAATATCATACTCAGATTTTAAGGTGAAACCAATGCTCAAAATATATGACCAAGACAATGTAAAGAAGTAGTTGAACATAAGAATATAGGTGAAAACATGTACACTCACATCAACTGCATTATTATTGTATTCTCCTAATGAAAAATGTTCAATGTTAATTAAAGAATGGAAATGTGTGATGACCTAGTGTCATTAATGTACAGCTGAAAAGAACATAAAATATTCAAGCAGTAAGAAGAAAACTAAAAAACAATTTACACCCATATCTTACAACTTAACCAGAGTCAAATATTAGAATCTGTCAAAGAATTATTTAATTCTTACTAAGTTGCCAATCTTCCTTATATAGATCAACAAATTTTCAAGGACAACCTTACTGTGTTGGTTTACTAGCATTCACTTTATCCTAAATAAAAATAAACCCATATTACCTCTTTACTTAAACAACTAGGACCAACACAAATATTTACGGGAAGGTCGCCTACCTTCAGGTTGCCTGATGTCCTGAAATGCTTTCATGACTTAAATCAAATACAGTATGAATGTAACATTTACTTATCTAAAATACTGTGCTAATGGAACATACCATGTCACAAGCATATTCTAAAACTCCATGGCTTTATGTGCCCATTCCATGGGCGATCTGACTTTTCATTACCTATGGGGTGAATGCGCACTTTCATTTGTGGAGGTCAACGTCATTAAAACTCCAATTGGCTGAGCTCCTTCCAAATGGTGCTAGGTAGTATACCGTGCTAGGTGCAGTCACATGCTTTTTCTCTTTTTAGTCTCCAATTTATGGTCAACTCCCAGAATATTATTTCTGGATTAGTGTAATCAATCTTAATATTTTGGATAGAATCTATATTTTTACAGCAAAGATTTTGATTAAAGTTCAAAGTATTTTTGAAGACAGTAACAGTTCAAAAATGAGACTGAAAAATAAAACTAAAAATAAAATTAAAAAAAAAAACCTCCAAAAATTGTTATTCTTTCTTGTTTCTTAACAATATTAACTAATATCTGGTGGTTAAAAAAAAAAAAGCTAACTCAAGCCACAATATCAAAAGCAGGCACTACAAACAGAACAGTGCAAATATTCTTTCCTCTCTTGAAAGAAAAATGAAACCATTCAGATTTAGCTACAGAGAGACTAAACTAAGATTGCAGCTTGCTTAGAAGAAAATTCTTTCCTCCCCATTATCATAGCTCACCTGGACAATAACTCGGTCATATTTTCTTCATTCATTCCACCAAAGACTTTAAATTTCTTCAAATTGCAGACATGAGTTTTCTCATATTTTCCAAATGTGATATTCTGGACTATAGCAGGCCTTTCAAGCTTCAGAATCAAGTACTAAAAAAAGAGAACAAACAAATTATATCCTCCTCCATGTAAAACAAATAATTAGACAATTTCAAAAGTTAAAATTTTAGACCATTAACAGAAGAACATATAAGATCCTGTCCATCCTGCATTGGCAGATTTTCTTATATTAATGCTGAAGAACAGTACACCCAACAACCTTATTATTATATATAGGCTACCATAACACTACCACTTTTTCCCAGGAAACTACACCACCCTGAACACTTTACATGAAGCAGAAGAAAAAAGGATGAGTGAGATAACTTATAATCAAGCAATGGCATTCAATAAAAGATATAACAGACTATGAATAACCAAATAAAACAACATTAAAATGCAAAAGTAACAATTATATTCTCATCCACTACAATTCAATAGCAAATTCAATGTTCAAAATTTTAACCCTCCGTCGGGCGCAAATGATCTCACAGATTCATTGCACACAAATTTTCAAATATCTAAGTTAACTTAATTATCGTGACTCATC